TCTGAAATCAACCATTTTGGTTTCTATCCTGACATTTTGGACTTGTCCTTAACTTCTCCATGTTTCAGTCTCCTCATCTGTAAACTAGGGATTCTAGTAATACTAACTTCCAAGGTTTGCTCTAGAAGCTTAGTACATTTGGAGCCATGCCTGGCACGTGGTCAGCATTCCGTAAATGTCAACTGTCATTGTTACGCTCAGCTGGGGTCCTTGGAGATAGTATATGTGCATTTGATAAAGCACCTTCTATCCCAGTTTTTTCTGCTCTTATTTTTAAATATGGAATGTGTGTTTCCTCTTTCCAGCCTTGAAAGAATGTCCTGGCATTTTTTTCTAAAGTCCTATAGGAACTCCAATTTCAGTGAAGGGCATCTAATCCCACTGAGGTCACATGTGACAAATGGTATTTTATTACTTGCTGATTACAGTTAACCTTAATTTCTTCCATGGCAGCCATGCAGTACCTTGTATTTGAATAGAGCTGTTTCTGGATGTGATTTTTCCAGCCTCTCTGGGTTTAATTCTAATTTAACTTGCCATTCCAAGTGGGACTATTGTGCAACTGAAGTCATGATTCACTCATTTGTTCTCTCTAGATCTAATTATTATGCGTGGTGCCTATGAGGCCCCCTCAGGCATTCATTCACCACTCTAAATGGTCTAACCTTCCGAGGAAGGGAGTAAGCCTTTAGTTATTTTCTTTTGAATTGTACAAATGTGCTCAATACAGTATTTGGGAACTCACTAGCAACTGTTTTACCTCTACCATTTTAATCATACCAAACTTATTACTAAGGTTAATTGGAAGAATCATGCTGTCGTGTACTGTTACTTGCACATTTTCATTCATTCGAACAAGGCCAACTTTTGATGCACCAACATCTTCATTTGAGGATACCTTAAGTGCCTTCCAAAAAAAGCACGCGTTTCTCAGAAAGCATAGGAAGGGCAGACTATAAACACCCAAAGTGTAATTATAGCTGTTTTGTAACCAAACACCCAGGCATTTGCCCCAGAGTGAGCCGGCACAGGATATGTTAATGAGAGTAAGTCACCTCTTCTCCCTTCCCACTTACCTGGATGCTTACTGTGATGATAGGAAGATTTTTATTTCACTCACCACCATCCTACACATGTTCAGTGGCCTCCCACTGAAAATTTTAATTGTGAATAAAATGGTTCTCTTGAACTTAGAATTAAGAACCAAGACACTTGTTTCCATGTGGTTTTAATGATCACCCAGACTCCCTGATGTTCCGTAGTCACTTTGTGTCATATCTAAAATGAGAACCTTAGAGAAATAAGAATAAGAATGAATAATCAAATGACCGCTATCTGAAGACTTGCAGTCAAAGCACTTTAGTAAGGATTGATTAACCAGCGAGGGATTAATTAATTGATCATATTAAATTAAAAATTAGAATAATGACTCAGTACACTCCTATAGTCATTCATTCATTCATTCACTCATGCTGTTTAGCACACCTTTCTTGAATGCCCACAATGTTCTAACTTCTAAAGATACAGAATTAGGGCCTCCCCAGTGGTGCAGTGGGTTGAGCACCGCACTGTGAAGCTGTCTGCAGCCTCTGCACATGGGTTTGATTCCCAGCCGGCCAGGGAGAAACCCACATGGCAAGCAGACCTCTCCTGTCTTGCCCACTGCTCCCCTCAGCAGTGTCTTTGGTCCGTCTGCCTATTCTGCTCCTCCCCGCTCTGGTTCTGGTGAATTCTCTCACCCTCCCATTCCTCTGACTGTACCCCAGTTCTTGTATAAATAAAAAAAAAAAAATCTTTAAAAATAAATAAATAAATAAATAAATGAATGGATAAATAAATAAATAAAGATACAGAATTACTTGGACTGGTACCATGACAGACCCATTTCTGTTCATAAACTTGGCTTGTTATCATCCATCTGCTGTGCCAGCCCACTGTGGAATCATGCTGCAGGCCTAGCTATCCTCCATGGGATTGGATTGTCTTCTCATCTTCCTGTCTTTTGAACCCCATTTTACTTCATCCCCACTTATATTCCTACAAATTCATAAAGAGTTCAAGTAGTACAGGAAGGTGCAACCTAGCGAAGGGTTCTTTGTCATCTTCGAGGCATCTTCTGTCTCTGCCATTTGAAAAGCGAGAGCCCAGGAGAAATTTTACCCATGGGATGCCATTTCAAAGCAGTTTGCTGGGTATAGCTATCCATTGCATTTACCTTTTTTTTTTTTTTTAATCTTATTGTATAGATGTTTTTAGATAGTTGTTTTTCATAATTTCCTAAAGGTTTCACTAGAAAATGAAGAGTAAAGGGTATGATATTGTATAGCATGTAGTCATTCACTAAACATGTCTTTATTTTAATGTATACTCAGAATCCCATGCCATTCTGTAGCCTTTGTGGTTCTCTCTGTACCTGCCATATTCATTACTTCATTGGTTCCTTAAGGTAGTTCATTGATTTTGATTTCTCATTTATTTTCCATTTTTCTCTGTATACACGAATACATAATAAGATAAATAATGAAAATCAATGACAGAGACGCAGTATATGTGTGCATTGTGCACAGTTTCATTTAGACTTTTAACATATTAGTATATACAAAGTGTTGTGAAAAAACAAAATGTTTTTATTGTAGATGTTAAGCCATAATTGGAAGGGAGCAATACCACATCATCTTCTCCATTTAAAAGATGTCAAACATATTATAACACAACAGTTTCTATGTTTGAGGTTCCCAGTGCCAAGATCCATATTTATTTTCATGAGTAGAGTCAAGAAATGAATTACTGTTGCCCAATAATCACACATACAGTCTTATTCTCAAGAATCACACTCCATGCCAGAGCACACATTGTCAGCAGTGACTAAAGCTGTTCTTTGCCAGGCCATGCCAGTCACACTCTTTTGATTCTTTTCACAATAGATTTCAGTGCCTGCAATTGAGTCGACTATGTGGAAAACCACAAATTCACATTAGTTGATAAGAAGACTGGGGAATATGATTTGGCCGGCTCAGTTGTTCTTTCATTCTCCTAATAAAGATCTTATATGAAACTGTTGAAGATATAGGCAGATGAATATCATTTATATTTGATCTTACCTAATAATGTAAAGCTTTGCTTGCTCAATTTATTCTTTGCAAAGTGACAAGATAGGCTGAAAATTTTAAAGGTACATATGTAGAAGGAGGCATTCCAAAAAAAATCAGTGTGGCAGTGTTACAATGAAATAGTAGAACTAATCTCTATGTCCATCGCTTAGGAAATGGATTTTAAAACTCTGGAATGAATATTCATTGACTACTATCACATTTCATCTAAGTCAGGTATTAGCAAAAACAGCCCATGGGCCAAATACCGCCCACTATTTATTTTGTAAACAGTTTTATTGGAACATAGCCATACTCATTATACTCATTTGTTTTTATATAGTCAATAGCTACTTCCATCATACAATTGCAGAGTTGCTTTGTTGAAACATAAACTGCCTGACTCTCAAAGTCAAAATATTTACTATCTAGCCCTTTACAAAAAAATATCTACCGACCTCTGATCTAAGTTAATATACCATCTTTTATATACTTTATAAACCATTGTTTTATATACCAAGAGTGAAGGCAAAAAATTGTTAATTAAACAATGACAAGCCATCAAGTGTAGGAAGTATCCTAATTTTAGAGACATTAAGTTATAAAAAAAGTACATCTTAGAATTGCAAAATTGTGGTATATAGTACTTCAAAAAAAGGAACTGCAATGTTTGTATAGAACTCGAGTACTTAATGTTGGAGGAACAAAAGACAGGTGTAAGACACTTTTCATAATGATGTGAACAGCAGGCTATTACTTACATGTCTCTTAAAAAATAGAAAACAATATTCTGAGCTTGTATGCAGATATGTATAGGTAAGCATAATTAAAAAGAATTCAAAGGATTGAAAGTAAACTTAGGGCACAGATGTTCTCTGAAAGGAGAAGGGACCAGGATAATGATGGAGGAAAGGAGAGATGTAATGTTCATTTAAAAAGAAGTAGTGATTTATTAATGAAAAATAATTTTTAAAAGCATCAAAACATGGAAAAGCTGAAAGAAAATGTTTCAAAATATAACTTGAATTTTTATGATGGAAATATAGATGATTTTTTATTGTATTTCACTATAATTTTAAAGATTCTCATAAATAACCAAAAATGATGTGTCATATCTTTCATTTCTATCTCCATCGAAAGAGATTAAGGTTTGAAGAAGTACATGTTAATCAATTATCTGACATTACAAACTAATCCTGTTTTTCTACTGTGGCATTAAGATTAAACAACGTGCAAGTCAGGGCCAAATTTCATGGTTAAAACTTTTTTTCATACTGGTAGTACAGCTAATCTCTAAATACAATGTGCTTTATTCCTCACCATGAAAAACCACCAACTGGAAAAGTTAAATGTCAGGTGCATTTTACAGAACAGAAATAGCTTGTCATGAGTCATGTTATTGATGTACTGATGAGATTTCTTTCAGCCCAATCTCACTTGTTTTGAAATATACACTGTGATTTTACACGATTTTATATGTTGTCACACGCAATTCAGACTCTCACATTACTTATCAAATGTGTTCGTTTTGTCATTTGTCTATGGCAGGGCTTCCTGAAATAGTCCCTATAAGTACGTGAGACATTCAAAACTTTGAGATCCAATTTAGCTCCCCCAGATTGTTTCTCTGGATAATGGAAATCTGTTCACTGCTGTCATTGAGTTTTTGGTTTTGTCTTATTGTTTTAAACATGTCTTGCTCTCCCTTGCAGTGTTTCAGCAGAAATAGGCAAAGCTGACTCCCTTCAAGATTAAGAAATGAAATGTGTCTGAGATAGTGGCAGCAGGAAATGTGGACAAGGGGCCTGAGTCTATGTAAAGCCGTAGGCCATGAAAGGATGGTCCCATGACAGTACATTCTAAACAGCGTCCTGTGTTGCTTACATTTAACTCCAGTTTTTCTTTTTCCAGTTCAATTTCACCATTTAGTATTGAGAGCACAAGACGCCAGAGACGGTCTGAATCCCCAGACTCCAGAAAACGGCGAATCCACAGATGTGATTTTGAGGGTTGCAACAAAGTGTATACAAAAAGTTCTCACCTGAAGGCTCACCGAAGGACTCACACAGGTACAGCTCCATGCAGCTTCTCATGCACGGGCTAGTGGGAATCCAGAAAGGGCCATTCCTGTCTCTGGATCCCCAAGGGTGTGGAGTGGTGCTTTGTTCTCCTCGTACTTGCATCTTGAGTTTGGTTCCTTTCTAGGTGAAAAGCTTTTCTCTTCTCAGCAGGAAAAAAGGCTTAAATCTTAGTGAACCTGAGCAACCAATCAAGGAATTCTTCTGTGTCTAAAGGAATTTTGTAATGAGGTGGACATAGTGAGCTAGTCTTTGTTGCCATTTTATCGTTGTGTGATTTATCAGGATTTTAGCACATCAGCCAATAAGCCAAAGAAAATCAGTCAAAGTTAGCTTTTTTTTTTTTTTTTTTTTTTTGGTGGGACTCTCGCCGGCTTCCGGGGAACGAACCTGCGCTGCAGAGGCTGCGGGCAGCCTCGCAGCCCAGTGCTCAACCACTGTGCCACCAGGGGAGGCCCCAAAGTTAGCTTTTAAGCACCACTCACATCATGCTTTTCTCTCCTTGATCTCATCCCCACAAATAAACTGTTAACCAAAAACATAAAATTGACATATGCGTAGCACTGTGGGGAGTTTTAAAAAAACTATTTCTACATGATTCCATTTGGTAGTTTTTTGTATTTAGAGAGAATTTTTAGTGTTTGCTTTTTACAGAGAAGTAATTCAAAACACAAGTGATTCACTGACTTTGTCACTATCCACCCACCCATCCATACGTCATCCATCCACCCACCCATCCACCCATTTACCCACCTATCCACTCGTCCACCCATCCGTCTGCCTATCCACCGAACCCATTACCCACATACCCTCCCAACTAACCATCCACCCATACAGCCACCCAGGACAGAAGCTGCTGACTCCTCACCTAGCCCCTCTCCATCTCATCTGGACTTGCCTGTATGTGTTTAAGTCAGCATCCCCCAGCTTCCTTGGTGTCTGAATCCTGTTGCATGCACCAGGGGCCCTGAGAGAAGGCTGAGGGTAGAAAGGCCCCACAGCTCTATCACTTTTCATAGGCACCGTGGTGACGGAGATGTGCACGCTCAAAGAAGCAGATAAAGCAGGGACATCCGTTCACGCATGTTGCTGGGAGCAAAGGGCCAGAGATGGAGCCAGTCCAGTCCAGTTATTCCTCAACAGGAGTCAGACTCCAGCCCCAGTCTCAGAATGGAAATTTCAAGTGTCCAATACTCCCATCTCAACTGTATTAAAATAGCCATGCTACACAAATCATTTCCCTGCTGAAGTAGCAACATCTTTTCATTTCACAAGTTTGTCATTTATTTGGTTGTGTTATTTTACCAGTTTCCAGAGCCTGCTGTAGAGAGACTGGTTCATGATTCTGCATCCTGAGACTGGGCATTGTATTTTGCAGTGAAGTTACAGCCTAGGAGTCTTGCCTGAAGTCAGAAAGCATTATAGAATCTGGAGTTTACTTTTGTTCGTCTCACGCATTATACTTGTAATATTTCTAAAATAATTCAGCACATTCTGCAAACTGCCTCTTCCATATTTCTTCCTTGCTCTGAATCCTCTTCCCTTTTCTACTTAATTCAAAATTCTTCCCCTCCGTTGGTTTTGAGCTTCCCTAGGAGAGATTTTCATCTATTTCTTAGGCACTGTTTTTGAATCAATTTCTTTATCATTAAGGCAAAGAATGCATGTAGACTCGAATAAGCATGACCATCCTATCAGTAGGTAGTGAAACCTATATCATAGTAGTAAGTATGATCAGATCGTATTACTTCTTGGAGAGAGCATTTCTTTTTTGAAAAAAGAATATGACCATTTCAATGAATAATCATAGCTTTTAAGTTCTTTCAAGTTATTCCTGTTTCCCTTAAAATACATATTAGTTTCATTTTCACATGGATACCTCTACTCCATTTATCCAAGTGATGAACAGTGAAAGAGGAAAAGGTTTAATTAGGTACTATTAGAGGATTTAACTCATGACATTATAGGATTGCCTATTACAGGTCTTAACATATACTATGAAATCAGGGGAAACAATGTAAGCATTATAATTCCAAGCAATATAAACCGTGAATGCTGAAGCAGAATTAACAAGCTTGGCTTATTAATAAGATGAAATCATACACACGTTGTGTCCGAATGGGCCTGCTATGTCACAGAATCTAATTTGTTTCCTAATTAGGGGAATCCATTTGTGTTGTCTGTCACAAGGAACAAGTCACTACACTGTAGTGTCCTGCACATTTACAAATTATACACAAGATGTCGTAACTCCGTGTTCAAAGTGAAGTCAACATTAGTTCCATCAGGATCAGGTTGTCTTGTGTTGCGTTTAATAATTTCCTTTGCTTTCCCTTGCTCCTCACAAGGACTGGTGGTTGCAACGTCGTTCTCTCCTCTGTACAAGCCTGACTCCTGGACTGCTTTTCCCTTGCTCCTAAAACACTTCAAATGACAGAGAGCTCATTCTTCTGCCAGACAAACTGGGAGACTCTCTTGCGGTGTCATGCTGCCTCGCAGGGTGTTGTCTGGCTCTCAGTTTTCACTTCCTGGCCCTGGTCCGCATCCCAGCTCTGGCATCTTAATTTTACCAAACGAGACTTCTCAGTTCTCTCAGCCACTCGTTTCTGAATATATTCCAGTGTATCACTCTGTCTTTGAGAGTTTTCACACCACAAATGGAGAAAACAGGTCTTATTAATGGACTTCTCTTCATAGAGGCAACAACAAGGTTAAGTGTTCAGCAGTTTCTGTTAGGTTATTTAAATTAAAAACTGCTAACAACCAGCTCTCATCCATCCCTGCCCCTGAAACTGTTTTCTTTTAGACATATATGTGCTTCTTGTATTTGTAATCGGACCTGCCCCCATGTGCTGGCTCCCTGGAAAGCAGTGGAAATGGTTAGCCACAGACTGGATGATCTCTTATTCCAGATACAGTACAGAATCTCTGTTATAAGGGTTGCGCATACATTTTTAAGTGTACGAAATAATAATTCTCCATTCATTGTATTGATTGGTGCCATTCTAGTACATGGAAATGACTTTGAAACCTGCCCCTACCCACCTTGCCTTTAGTATTTCACCTTCAGTTTCTTCATTTTTGCCAGAAACTGAAAGTAGGACAACTTCCAGGAAAAGCCCTAAGCTGTAATCCTAGAGACTTCCATTGAAGTGGGTCTGAATTCATTAACCAGCAGCTTATAATACACTTAATTGTCCTACTCCAGTTCACATTTTGTGATCTAACAGCTCCATTAAAAAGTCCTTGTGACTTTTTTGGTTTGTGTTTCAAACCAAAATATGCCAAATCCATTCCTCCGCTTAGCAAAGAGATACTTAGCTCTGTGCGTGGCATCATCCCCTAAGCTAGCTGTCCAGCTACAGTACTTATAAAAAGAACAAATGAAATTTGGTTGATTTGCTGTGCTGCCACTGGTTCAAAGTGAGCCCATAGTAGTTTCTGTTTTATAATTATATGCAAATATTTCATAACTTAGTGTGTGGAATGAAATCAACATTAGTTCCGTAAGGATTCAGGTTGTCTTGTGTTGTTTTTAATAAATATCTTCTTAACCTTCCCTTTGCCTCAGGCATGTTGACTAAGTTTTTTGTGTGTCACCAATAATAATTAATGTGGAGCTTGGGATTATAACAGATGACTTATGAGAACTACACACGCTATGGGAGGGGAGCTGGTAGCAGTGAGAAACTTTCTTTTGAGAAGGTCATGTCATTTTACCTTTAGCACTTGATCTCTTGTGCTATATTAGTGCATGATCAGTCATCTGTTTACTTAGGAATTATACAGTAAATGATACATATTTGCTAAGAGTGTGAAACAGGAACATTTTCTAGATATTCCAAAAAAGGAAACACTGAAGAGTGCCTTCTCGCTTTAAAAATAATGGCCTGTACCCCGGTTCTTGTATAAAAATAAACAAATTTTTAAAAAAATAAAAATACAAATAAGTAAGTACATTTTCATGAATTTTCAGTTTAGATCATAATACAAAGATGTAGCCAGATAACTTTACTGTCTTAACTAACTCTTGCCTGTGGTAAATCATTTAAGGCATGTTAGAGGAGGAAAAATATAACATCTCAGCATCCCAAACTTGAAGTACATTGTTCTGATCCCTAGCCTAAGTTGTATGAAGTTGTGTGCAGTGCTTTTAATTCATTTATGTTAATGAATTAAATTTATTTCATTTAAATTTGTGCTATAGATAGCAACTATGTACTATAAATTTTTCTCCTTTCAAGAATTGTATTGCTTATTAAGTGATTTAAATTTGAATGTAATAAAATAATGCTGTGAATTTGACATTGCTGTATAGAATTATCGGTATTTTCTAAAAATATATGCCATAGTAATTTCTAAAATGAAGTACAAGAACACTCAGGTGTCAGTATTCATACAACCACTAGATGGTGCACTATAACTAGGTGTTGAGTCTAATCTAAGAGGGTCTGAAAGAGTCCACTAGAACAGAACCCCCTAGCGGTATGTCTGTTATGATGTGGTTGTCAGTGTTGTACAGAACTTTACAAATTGATAAAAACAAGAAAAGATAAAGATATATTTAAAACCAGATTTTTTAAAGTAATTTCAGCATATAAAAATATTCAATTTCAGATTAACCTGGAAAAATTTTATATTACAACTTGGTATCCTGCTTTCTCATAAATCCATAAGGCTCATTTAGTCAATTTTGTTTAATATGTATTTTAATTCATATAGAAACTGTATATCTAAATTTTAAAAATTATTAAGTGTAAAGCAGCTATGTATCTTCTCTCTCTGGCTGTATCAGAAATAATTCTTATCTGAATTTTGCATATCAAGGAAGATAGTTCATATGGATGCTTTAAAAAGATTAATCAATTTTTATTCCAAAGTCTCAAAAATATGTCCTTCCCTGCCTTTATGAGAGAAGAAACAATGTATTTAGCTCTTTTCTTGAATGTAACTCTTGTAGTTAACATCCTGTGTTAGAATGAAAATCATAT